GGCCACGAGGGCGTTGAGTGATTTAGGTATTGTAATCCAAAGTAAGGCATATTTTTTTATATCAAAGTAAAAGGCTGCACTTCCATGTATTTGAAGATATGTTTCGTCCTCGTCGCAAAATTTCTTTAAAACGAGATCTGAATACCCTCGGCGGGATTCGAACCCGCAATCCCCGTTTTAGGAGACCGTTGCCTTATCTGTTGGGCCAAGAGGGCTTCGCGTTGTTGAGGTATTTTAATCCAAAGTAACGCATATTTTTTTAAATCAAAGTAAAAGGCTGCACTTCCATGTATTTGAAGATCTGTTTCTTCCACGTCGTAAAATTTCTTTAAAGGGAGCTCAGAATACCCTCGGCGGGACTCGAAACCGCAATTCCCGGTTTAGGAGACGGACATCTTAACCGTTAGGCCACGATGGCTTTGAGTTATTGAGGTATTTTAATCTAAAGTAACGCATATTTTTTTAAATAAAGGAAAAGGCTGCACTTGCATGTATTTTAAGATCTGTTTCTTCCACATCGTAAAATTTCTTTAACACGAAATCTGAATACCCTCGGCGGGATTCGAACCCGCAATCCCCGGTTTAGGAGACCGATGCCTTATCCGTTAGGCCACGAGGGCTTCGAGTTATTGAGGCATTTTAATCCAAAGTAAGGCATAGATTTTTATCAAAGTAAAAGGTGGCAATTGCATGTATTTGAAGATATGTTTCGTCCACGTCGTAAAATTTCTTTAAAACGAGATCTGAATACCCTCGGCGGATTGAACACGCAATCCCCGGTTTAGAGACCGATGCTATCCGTTAGGCCACGAGGGCTTCGAGTGGTTGAGGAATTTTAACTAATGTAAGGCATATTTTTTATCAAAGTAAAATCTGCACATGTATTTGAAGATATGTCGTCTTCGTCGCAAAAAATTCTCTTTAAAGATCTGAATACCTCGGCGGATTCGAACCCGCAATCCCGGTTTAGAGACCGATGCCTTTCGTTAGGCACGAGGGCTTGAGTGGTGAGGTATTTAACTCAAGTAAGGATATTTTTATCAAAGTAAAAGTGCGGAATTGCTATGTATTTAGATATGTTTCATTCGTCGCAAAATTTCTTTAAAACGAGATCGAATACCCTCGGCGGATTCGAACCCGCAATCCGGTTTAGGAGACCGATGCCATCCAGTTGCCACGAGGGCTTCGAGTTTTGAGGATTTATTCCAAGTAAGGCATTTTTTTTATATCAAATATAAGGTGGCAATTATGTATTTGAAGATATGTCTGTCCGCGTCGTAAAATTTCTTTAAAGGAGCTCAGAATACCCTCGGCGGGATTCGAACCGCAATCCCCGGTTTAGGAGACCGATGCCTTATCCGTACGAGGGCTTCGAGTTATTGAGGCATTTTAATCCAAAGTAAGGCATATTTTTTTATCAAATTAAAGGTGGCAATTACATGTATTTGAAGATATGTTTCGTCCTCGTCGCAAAATTTCTTAAAAGATATCTGAATACCTCGGCGGATTCGCACGCAATCCCGTTTAGGAGACGATGCCTTATCCGTTAGGCCAGAGGCGTTGAGGAGAGTATTGAATCCAAAGTAAGGCATATTTTTTTTATCAAAGTAAATGCACTTCATGTATTTGAAGATATGTTTCGTCCCGTCGAAATTTCCAAAGAGTCAGATACCCTCGGCGGATTCGAACCCGCAATCCCCGGTTTGGAGACCGATGCTCATCCGTTAGGCCGAGGGCTTGAGTGTGAGGTATTTAATCCAAGTAGCATATTTTTTTTTATCAAAGGTACTGCACTTCATGTATTTGAAGAATGTTTCTGTCCGCGTCGTAATTTTAAAGGATCTGAATACCCTCGGCGGGATTCGACCCGCAATCCCCGGTTTAGGAGACCGATGCCTATCCGTTAGGCCACGAGGGCTTGCGAGTGGTTGTGATTTTAATCCAAATGTAAGGCATATTTTTTATATCAGTAAAAAGGCTGCACTTCCATGTATTTATGATGTTTCGTCCTCGTCGCAAATTTCTTTAAAACGAGATCTGAAAACCCTCGGCGGACTGAACCCGCAATCCCGGTTTAGGAGACCGATGCCTTATCCGTTAGGCAAGAGGGCTTCAGTATTGAGGATTTTATCCAAAGTAAGGATATTTTTTTATCAAATTAAGGTGCAATTGCATTTATTTGAAGATATGTTTCTCCCGTCGTAAAATTTCTTTAAAGAGCTCAGAATACTCGGCGGGATTCGCCCGCAACTCGGTTTAGGAGACCGATGCCTTATCCGTTAGGCCACGAGGGCTTGTAGTTGAGGTATTTTAACTAAAGTAAGGATATTTTTTTTATAAAGTAAAAGGTGGACTTCATTGTATTTGAAGATATGTTTCGTCTCGTCGCATCAAATTTTTTAAAACGGAATCTGAATACCTCGGCGGATCTAACCGCAATCCCCGGTTTAGGAGACCGATGCCTTATCCGTTGAGCCACGAGGGCTTCGAGTGTTGAGGATTTTAATCAAGTAAGGCATTTTATCAAAGTAAAAGGTGCATTGCATGTATTTGAAGATATGTTTCGCACGTCGTAAAATTTCTTTAAAGGAGCTGATCACCTCGGCAGGATTCGAACGCAATCCCCGTTTAGGAGACCGATGCTCTTCTGTTAGCCACGAAGCTTGATGTTGAGGATTTAATCCAAAGTAAGGTGCATTTTTTTATCAAAGTAAAATGCACTTCCATGTATTTGAAGATATGCGTCCTCGTCGCAAAATTTCTTTAAAACGAGATCTGAATACCCTCGGCGATTGAACCCGCAACCCCGGTTTAGACCGATGCCTTATCCGTTAGGCCACGAGGGCTTTGATATTGAGGGATTTTATCCAAAGTAAGGCATATTTTTTATCAAATAAAGGTGCACTGTATGTATTTGAAGATATGTTTCGTCCGTATGTAAAATTTCTTTAAAGGAGCCGGAATCACTCGGGATTCGAACCGCAATCCCGTTTAGGAGACCGATCCTTATCCGTTGGCCACGAGGGCTTGAGTTTGAGGTATTTAATCCAAAGTAGGCTATATTTTTATCAAAGAAATGCATATGTATTTGAAGATATGTTTCGTCCTCGCGCAAATTTTTTTAAAGAGATAGCACTGGCGGATTCGAACCCGCAATCCCCGGTTTAGAGACGATGCTCATCCGTTAGGCCACGAGGGTCTGAGTGATTGGATTTAATCCAAGTAAGGCATATTTTTTTTACAAAGTAAAGGTGCACTTCATGTATTTGAAGATATGTTTGCCCTCTGCAAAATTTCTTTAAAAGAGATCTGAATACCCTCGGGGGATTCGAACCCGCAACCCCGGTTT